CCACCCTATCTAAAGATGCGTTCCAAGTCTTCTCCTTTTACCCTTCTGAACAATTACTTTCTTCAGATGACAACAATGTCAATATATATTTGTTTTTTACTGTCAGCCTCAAGCCACTAGAAAGTAAGTTCCATTAAAGTACATTTGGTTCACTGCTATATGCCCAGCACTGAAGCAGTTATCTAGCACAAACTGTTCAATTCAGCAAATATCTGAATGAAGAATATACCTAATTCTGAATGGCAACAGTAATTTAGTCATGTATTTTCCCTTTTCAAATAACTCCTCCTCCGTTTTGTAAAGAAAATTATAAATATTTCCCCCAATTATTTCCCATTTATAATCACTTTTATTCTGCTTTGAAAAAACAATTACCAACTGAAGTTTCTCTACAAATTAAACATTATCAGGAGGGACATCCAGTTGCCTACCATAAATGGATGGAGAAAGAAGAGCTAGCAAGTTCAACACTTCTCTGGTCTGGTCTTGAAACACTCTTTCCAACAGCTCCTTATCTCTGACTTTCTTCTCTTTCCCACACTGTCAACACTGCTTTCCCAAAACACAGTAACTCTTCTAGAGAATCCTCTTATCAGTAGTCAGCGTTATTTTATCTCCTTTCCTTACTTTTCCTTAATAGTGTCCTGCAGTGAATTTCAAGGAACAGTATTTCCTAGGGTGCTAAAAGATGCTGAAGAGGGTCAAATAAATTTAGGAAAGATTTCATTAAGCAACATTGAGCAGCTTTCTTTTTTAAAACTTTATTTAGAATCCGAACATTGTTCATGTGCACTCCACAAAGGAGAGTATATACGTTGTAATCAAAACTAATTTTTTTCAACTCAAACTTAATAGAATCTTCCTTTCATTCATAACACTCTTCTTTCCTAGCTATCTCAAAATTATGGCAGCCTAACTTACTGAAAACAACTTTTACTGTAGATACCGAGGAAGGTTTAAAAGGAGACTTGCTAATAGATATAAGTTGTAATTAAAATGTACATAGCCTGCAGGGTATTATTTGGTAGTAAGTCATTTTAAATGGTGAAGAGTGATAAAAATTAATGAAATTACCAAAGGTAGCATAAAACTGGTACCACAAGCACTTAAGTAACTTCTTCTCTATTCATATATCCTTTTATACCTCCACTAACTAAAATAAGGATGGGGTTAGAAGGAAGCAAATTATGTAACATTTTAGTCTAAATGTTAAATTTACATTTCTGGGGGTGACTTATAATTAGAAGTAAATCCTCATGTATCAGAAAAACTAGATCAGTAGGATCACTTTATAAAATGAACAACTTTACCCTCTGATGAAAAAAGTACTTCCCTAATAATTTCTCTATCATCCTCTTTTTCTCTATCATCCTCGCATTATCGCTGCAAGGAATCTACCACCCTTTTTTGCTGCCTTAGTGTGCCTCCCTTGCCTTTAAAACCTTCTTCTGGTCACCCCCTTTCACTCCTATATCAATGCTAGTTTCCAAACATGAACTTGTTCATCCTAGCATTTGAAGAGTATTTTCAATGATATGATGTTAGAAGCAAAAGTTGAACTAGTCATATCCCTAACATCAAAGAAATTCCTAACACTTAGAGACCTGATTGGAATATGACCCATATGTACCCTCCTCCCCATGAGACAAACAATACTACCTTCAAGCCGGATCCCCCAACATCCTAAATTCTTTGAAACTAAAAATAGCTCAGCTGTTGTCTCATCTGCCAGCAGATGGCCAGACTATTTTTAATTCGGGATTCTAGAGAGCAGGAATGGAGCAGGCTAAGCTAGGGCAGCCTAGGAGACCTCACCCTGCAGAGTTCATTCAGTGAGCACTACAGAGATATAGTGGGCAGGTACCAAGAGAGGGCAACCTGGAGCTGCTCTTGGGCCTGTGGTTTTCACCAGGATTGCAACAATGTAGGTGTGAAGATTTCATTTTTCCTTTAAAAAAAAAAAAAATCACTATTCCTTAAAGTCTGAACTGTAATAAAATTTGATAAAACTTTAAAAATAATTTACATATCCTTTGTAGCTTTCATTTTTTGTGTGTGAAAAGTTCTTTTACTTAGCGTATTTGAGCATGTATTTTGTTTTAATGAGTAAAACCTCCCATAATCTAGATAAAATTTCCTAAAAGCTATACTTTAACAAAAAAAAAAAAAATAGTATTCTTAATATGCAATAAACTGTAATTTCATGAGTATTATTCAGAGAAAACTGGTCTTTACATGAAAAGGTAACAGTTAATTTTGAATGCCATGCTCCGAAATCTAATCCTACACCAATAAAATGGTTTTTAAAACATAAGGGGATTCAAAGTCTGACAGACCACATATTTCCTTGTTTACTGGCCATCTTCCTTCAGCTCTATGCTAGTGTTCAATAAACATTTGGGAGGGGAGGCGAGATGAATGCTGCAGGCAGGTTTATTTAAAAGGGATATAACAACACCCACCTCTGTACTTCCACCATCCAATCCAACCTACTCACAACCTAGAGATCAGGGATGACCAAACCAGGCCATTCCAGTTCACTTTTCCCTCCTGCTTGGTGATCACAGAGATTATCAAGAGACCAAAGTAAGCCTGGCACAGGTCTCAATACTGAAAAGAAAAGGGGAGATCTATATTAAGTTCCAGGGACAAAGTATATTTGGGGACACCTTATTACAAGGCAGTCTACTTTTTGCAAAGATGAAATGGGTTATCATTTCATCAATTTATGTTTCAGTGTGAGGATGACTAGAAGGAAGAAACCAAGTTCACCAGGGATTAATTATTGTGAGGTTGCTCAATGTGTTTTGTAGGAGGCTAAATGTAATTGTTATGAAATGTGAGAAAAAGTCTTACACATCTTAAGAAAGTACTCTGGTGCCTCGCGCCTGCCTGGGTAGTCAGATTTCTCCTAATAAGCTTCTTACTACTGTATGGGAGGGTAAAAAAGTAAAAACTGATGGATTATCCTGGTAAAGCTAGCACACTTACTGCCAGGTAGTTCCTAAGTCCAGAAATGGCAAGGACCAAACTACAAGCCCCCTAAAGATGTCAATCTAGAGCAGCAGGAATACTCACTGCACAAGTTAAAAGAGTAGTAAACCCACATTCATGGTGCATTAGAGGGAATGCAACATTATAATCATTAAGTTCAATATCTAATCTAATTTTACAGAGAAAGAAGTTTAGGCCCAGAGATTTGACTATTCTAAATGCAACATCACTGGGATAATCCCAGGGTTCCCAGATTCTACTGCTAGGGAGCTCTCCATTAAAACACACTTATATTAGCATTTTGGAGAGGATGGGACAAAAAATAAAGAAATGAATATATGCATATACATACACAACAAATTCCATTTCTTCAGTCTAATACTTAACATTTAGTGTATTAAAATATATATTCTAATATGGAAAATCTGGTCTCAAAAAACACACACTTCAATTTGAATCTCAAATGCCTTATCCTGCAAGTTTTTCACAAACCTGCTCATAACAATCCTTTAAAAAATTTTAAAAACCTCTCCTCCCCTCATCACTTCCCAATATAATAATTATTCCTTTCAAGACCCAGATATAAATTCAACTTTCACCACTGTACAATGTCTTCTCATACACCTCAGCTTTTCCTTAGCTGCGAGAACAACACGTGAACTTCTAATCCAAGAAGGGCTGAAAAAATAAAAGGTAAGTCCACTACACTACAGATTCAAAATTTTTAAATGAAGTCTCTTTGATGTTTTCCATAGCACCACTCTACAAGATCCAAAGAGGAAAGGGGTAAAAAAACCCCACAAAAAACCCGGTAAGGCTTATTATAGAAGTTACAAAATCATCTTCTACTTATTTAATAAGTAAAAGGTTGCCTTAACCCTTTAATTTAGCATACATTTAAGTTATTCTGGACTTTTCCCCCTTTCAGAATGCTTTTGTAAAAAAAAAAAAAAAAAAATTAAGCCCATTTTTGCAAGCTTAATTTTCTCATCATTTTGATCTAGTCTATCTCCAGTGCTATACAATAAAGCGTAAGCATTAGGAATTCATCTTTGTGTTCAATGTCCCCGCGTCTGTCTTCAAACGATTTCGTCGGTGATGGATTTAACAGATCTGTCAGTGTCTCTCCCTGGACCAATTCCTCACCTGCCTGTCCTGGCTCTAAGTATTGTTAGGCTCCGCGCTGCCCTGGGCTTCATCACACCACAACTCTTCCGTCTGAACTATTATAATAAATCACCATGCAAGCTGGAGAGCAAGCAAGCGGCCAGGGTCCAGCCATGCGGCTAGTGGGCTGTCATTGTCTTTTTTCATCTTCCCCATTTCAAACCTTCCCTTCCTCCGGACCAAAGCCAGCTTACCTCAAGATCCTTTCCTTCCCCTCCCCCTCCATCCCCCCCCCCCCCCAGCTCTCCCATCGCCTCCCCCACGCCTTCACCCCTGGGTCTTATTCTTCCAGGTCAATCCAGGCGCCCACAACATTACTCTGTGTTTTTTTTTTTTTTTTCCCCTGCGGGCGGAGGCGGAGACATGTCAAAGGGGCTGCATCTGTGGCAAAGCCCCTGCTGGAGAGACTGTCAACAAGGGAGCAACTTCAGCCCGGGCTTCCCCCGCCCCGGCACCAGGTCAAAGTTATTGACATGCAAGAGACGGAGCCCTTCCCACGCCCAGTCTCGACCCAGCGGCTCCACCTGAACGTCCAAGCCCATCCACAGCGGCTCAGCCTCTGCTTCAGCACAAAGGGGGGTACCCCGGCCGCACCGCACGATCCACCTGCAAAACCTTACCCTCTGCCTCCCAGCCCTGCAGCTCCCCGAGCCTCCAACCCCCCCCCCCATCCCACCCCAATCCCTGCCCCACATGCAGCCGAGTTACTGTCAACTCCCAACTCCGGGCGGGCAGCAAGCAGCTCCCTGGCTCCCGGGCCTCGGAGGCTCGGCTAAGGGCGAGCCCCGGGGGCGCCCGGGACCCCGGACCCCCCTCCCGCCGCCGCCCCCCGCGCTCACCTAGCGCCACCTCGCACGCCTTGCGCAGCTGGGAGTGATGCGCCTTCTTCACTTCCTTGTCGGCCAGGATCTTCTCCAGCGCCCGCGTCAGGAACATGTTCTTGGTCTTCTTCCCCTCATACATGGACGCGGGGGGAGGCGGCGGCGGTCCGGCCCGAGGCTCCCGGCGGCGGCTGGACGGATGGGCGAGGAGGAGGAGGGGGGGGGGGGAGAGAAGAGACGGAGAAAGGGGTGGAGGTGGAGGTGGGGGCGCGGAGGCGTGGAGGGCAGCGGCGGGGGCAGGAAGGGGCGGGCGGACCGGCCCCGGTGCGGTCCGGGGCGCGGAGGGAGGTCTTCGCCGACCACTCCCGAGAGGCCGCCCCCCAGGAGGGCCGCGCCTACGGGACCTCCTCCGCTTCTTCTCCGGGTCCCGGGGCGCTTCCCGGGCCACCACCCCGGAGTCCCTCGCCCCTCCGGCCTGGGGGCGGCGAGGGAGCCCAGAAGGCCGAGGGCCGCGGAGCGAGCCGCCTTAGAGGCCGGGCGAGAGCGGGGCTGCCCTGGCTCCTGTGGGGACGAGCGCCCGCCGCGGCCACGCGCCGGCCTCCATCACCGCCGGCCTGCCCCGGCCGCCATGTTGGGAGGAAACGACGCGTCACGCAGCGTCTGTCCGAACGGCTGCAGAGGAGGAGGAGGAAGCGAGCGCGGCGGCGGCGGCTGGCAGGCGCGGCCGCCCAGAGCGCCGGGCGCCGGGAGGCTGGCAGGCGGGGCGGAGGCGGCGCGGAGCCCAGCGCTACGGCGGCCCGCCGGGGCCCTGCGCCGCGCGCGTTCTCGTTCTCCTGCCGGCGGCGTGGGGCGTGCCGCGTGGCAGGCGTCCGTCCTGCGGCGGCTGCGGCGAGAGCCGGGCGCTGGGGCCCCTGGGACGGGGGGACTGCGGCCGCCCTGGGTCCCTCCTGTCCCCCGGGAACGAGACTCCCGACTAGGCTGCGCCCACGTCCTGCCGGGGATTCCCCGGGTGGGAGCGCGGCCCTCGGGCGCCCGGAGTGCGGGGCTCCGCCGCGCCGTCTGCACCTGCAGCGCGCTGGCTGCTGTGGGTTCGCAGGCGCAGGGAGCTGCTGATCCAGACCTGTGCCCTGCGGCTCTGTCTGCCAGGATTCTCTCCTGGAAAAAAGCAAACTAAACCCAGTTTGACAAAAGACTCTCGGGGATGCTTCACTTTTCCTCTCGGTGGAATAAATCGGTTTACTTTTAGATTTCAGATCCCTTCTGGATCGAGGCTCAAGCGAACACGTGAATGCTCCTGGGTTCCCTGTGCCCTTAATACTACGATTCCGTCCAGGAGAGGAAAATCCGTTTCACAATGAAAAAAAAAAAAAAAAAAAAAAAAAAAAAAGCTTTAAGTGCAGACAGACTACTTACAGATACACAGATGACCCTGTGCCTGCTTTTGGTACCAAAGAATAATTCAAGTTTCTGTTTCATTCAGAGCAGAACATTATAAAGGCTACCATAGAATATATGCAAAGAATTGGTAATCTAATACCATAACCAATAAAGAAATTAAAAAAGAGAGAATTGGTAATCTAAGATACACGTCTTTAAGTCCAAAGTGGCTGTGTGACTCTATCTACACGCGTTTCCAAATTGTTAGGAGATGCCTCTCACTGTTCCCATCCATTCCATAGCCCTGACTGTGGACTTGTCCTAAAGTAACCATTCCAACCCAAGAATGGAGAGGGCTGTGAAGCGACAAGATTTGAAACAAGCAAGAAAAACAAAAACACAAAACCGTGGGAAATAAAAATGGAAACTCTCCAGCTGACCCTGAAATTAAAGTAGGCAATTAGATTTTTTAAAACTTCGTTGTCCTGAGAGACACATTATTTTCATTTTAGAGACTATTTCCAGGTTATCAGAAGTTAAAGAGTATACTATAACAGCCATAATGACTTCTATGCACATACTCATTAGAAAATAAGATTTTTGAGAACAAGCTCCATTTCTAATTTATCTTCCTTTCTTCATGTGAGTGTTGTACCAGGTACTGTTAAAGGTGCTAGCTGATCATCAAACCAATTTATTCCTCAGTATAGAGATACATTGTGCTCCTTTGTCTCCCCTGCAGTTAGGTATGGAACATAGCCATCCCCACTTAGCCCAGGAGGAAAAGAAATCCACAAGCAATTCCCCATGCTCTTCCCCCTTCTATGGCCACATATTGAAGGCGGCAGAGGTCCAAGTTAGGAGGAGCCTGGGTCCTACCACTTAAAGGAGAGCCATCCACCCATCAGGAAGATTCGTTTTGGACAATGAAGTAAACTCCTGTGCTATATTTAGCAGCTAGCATTATCCTAAACAACACACGATATTTGTTAATGAATAGAGATTTCTGAACTGAAAAAGCTCAGAGTCTACTGCACAGCACATATCACAGTAGAAACATCTTGCCTGCGTAGTACTTGTTTATTGGTTGGTTATGTGTTTCCTCATGACACCGAGGACATCACTTGTCAGTTCACTTCTAGAATCTAGTGTGGTCACTGGCATAGAGAAAGTCTTTGGTATAAATTTGAATAGGAACTTGGATCGTCCAGCTGGCATGGCTGAGTGGTTGAGCGTTAACCAATGAACCAGGAGGCCATGGTTTAGTTCCCGGTAGGGCACATGCCCGGGTTGCAGGCTTGATCCCCAGTGTGGGGTGTGCAGGAGGCAGCCAATCAATGATTCTCATCATTGATGTTTCTATCTTTTTTAATTCCCTTCCTCTCTGAAATCAATTAAAATATATTTTAAAAAAACTTGTATGAACGAAAGATATTGGGCTAAGTCAGGCATGATTCTCATTCTTGTGGAGTTTACATTATATAGTAGGGAAAAGGATATTAAATATTATAAATAAATCACTAGTGAGTGAATATATAATTATAAACTTGTTACATATGATAGAAGAGGCGAATAGAGTGCTATGAGGAATTCTACTTTTGGATTCAGGAATGGCTTCCCTAAAAAAAAAAATAATAAAAAATAAAAAATAAAGGAACATTTGAACTGAGCCCTGAAAAGAGGAGAAAATAGCAAAGCTAACTCAAGGAAGAACTTTGTAGGCAGTCTCTTGGATTAGAAGGGAAGCTCGGCAAGTTTCAGGACCCCAAACAAGGCAGTGCAGCTAGAAGTTATCAAGAGGAAATGGTGCCAGTGAGGATAAAGAGGGAACTAGGGAAGCAGATCATATAGAATCTTGTAGGCCATGCTAAGGGGTTTGGGATTTTATTCCAATAGCAATAGAAATCTATTGAAGGACCAAGTAGGGAGTGAAATGATCAAATTGGTTATTTAACAGTAGCCCCACTGTTGTGTGGAGAATGGATTGGAAGGGGACAAGAGTGGATGGGACAGGACAGGCAGGAGGTGATTACAACAGTGCACCGTGGTTTGGGTTGGGGTTCCGGAGATCATGCTCTGCACAAAAATGGCAAATGAGGCTGAAGTCAAGCCCCAGCATGTGCCCAGGGGAAGGAGTCCTTTTCTGCTTTGCATAAATGTTAGGTAGCCCAGTGGTATTATATCTAAGTGATGGCAGTAGAGAAGGAGCAAAGTGGATAGATTTGAGGTATATTATGGTAGCAGAATGAACAAATTTTGTAATGAACTGGAGTAAAGCTAGGAGACAGGAAGAGATCTCAAACAAATGCCCCTTTCCAATCAGAACCAGTGAATGAATGAGTAGAAATGCTGTTTGTGGAAGATGGCCTAGACTGTTCCTGGGTTAGGAACAAATTTGAGGGTGAGAATGCAGTTTTCAGTTTTTTAAAAATAACCTCTGAGATATGACCTAACCCTCTCAGAAGGAATGGACTCCATCCTCCTTTCTCCCAGGGGACAATTGGTCCTCCCCCTTTGCTGGGTCTAAGACTTCACCCAAAAGGCGGTTGTGATGGGGGCAGGAGTGTGATCAGCCTTGAAAGGTGGACACTCTCACCCAACTTGAAACTCAAGATATTAACTCTGACCAGCCTGGAGCAACAGATTCAGTAAGACTGAGATAAAGCTGATGTCCTATTAGCTTTCCAAACATTCCAAGAGAAAGATAATATCTTTAGTCATTTATTTGCAAGTGACGGAGAAGGGGTTGGTGGTAGCAGAATCAGACAATTTTTTTTTACATAAAATTTGGAGTATATTTTCCTATTATTGTTATTGTTGCTTGGTGTTTATCCAATCTGTTTAAATAAATAAAAATCTCAGTATTCACTTGAATTTGATTCATTGTTGTTTTCAAAACATTCAAGTTCTATATTTCTGAAATACTTATCATCCTCCAAATTTTAAAATATATTTTCTTATAAATGCTTTCCTGGGTCCATTTTTGCCTCTTGGTCTGCAATCTCACCTTTCTTTCACTTAATTATCCCTAATCATTTTCCCTTTCATCTATAACTTTATATTAGCTGTCTTGACTTTTCTCTTTGGATAACATTGCCACTTTTATTTTAACATCCTATATAATAAATGCCTAATATGCAAATCGACCAAATGCTGGAATGACCAGTGGCTATGACATGCACTGACCACCAGGGGACAGATGCTCAATGCAGGAGCTACCCCCTGGTGTTCAGAACACTCCCACAGGGGGAGCACCACTCAGTCAGGAGCAGCTTCTCCTGCCTCTGCTGCAGTCAGACATCCCCCCTACCCCAGGGCTCCTGGACTGCTAGGGGGCACAGACTGGGCTGAGGGGAACCCCTCCCCCTCCAGTGAAAGAATTTCATGCTCTGGGCCTTTAGCTAAACAATAAAAGACTCCAACCTGGGTTTTAGCATCTTGGTTGGTTTGCTTTGTCATCATCCTTTGAAATACAGATGTAAGTTCATTATAGTAAATAGAGATATAAATTCAGTGTAACACGAAAATTTTATAAAATCTGAATAAAATTTTAATCTGAGTAGATCTGATTGATGTTACAAGCCAATATTAGTTAACATAAAAATAGCATCGTGTTCACTTGACTAAAAAATCTCAGCCTAATGCTTCCCGTAGTCTTTCATATTATCTTTTATGTCTCTCAGTTCTATTAGCTTTCCAAACATTCCAAAATCTGACCCTTCCTTAACTTCCTAATTTCTCAGTCATAATTATCATTTATGCAGA